GCACGAGGATTTTGATGTTGGTGGGGGGGGAGCAGAAGGGAATTGTACATTTTGGGCATTTGAAGAGCACACTTGGTATTCTGCAGTGCAGGAGTCACTGAGAAGCAATACCTGCCTTCCATTTCTAGGTTCTTGCTTTCATCTGTAACGTAAGGCCTCTGCTGAGCCGTGCTGCCACAAACACTGTTCATCCACTGTCTGTCTGCCCATGTGCCATCACCAATGGCAACACCACTGAGGAGGGAGGGAAGAATGGTAGGATGGGGCTGCTGCTCTTGGTGGCAGTGCTGACAAGCCCTCCTCCAGAGCCACTCTGCAGCAGGCAGATATCAGGCAGGAGGGCCCTAACTCTGGGTAGAGCAGTGCTGTTTGAGGCAGGGGCATCGCATGTGGTTGGTGGTGGGGACGAAAACAAATTGTGTACAAGCTGCCTTGAATGGTGGGACGAAAGGAAAGGACAGCCCAGGAGGGAGCACCACTGGGGCAGCGAAGTTGAAAATGTACTTGTTGCATTCAGGTGACGCGTATGCTTTAAGTAGGAGGTGCGTTGTACTGTTTCAGTCCATCAGTAGGGTGCAAACGTTGAGATACAAAGAACAAGGTGTTCTCTGGAATCCCATTCTGGAGAGCACTGGAACGTTGGTTCTGTGCTTCCTCACCCCAGCATGAGGGGCTGGGGGTGCTGGGTGTCGTGTCCTGCACTGGGTGCATGCTTCAGTGCTTCTGAAGGAAACCATCACTGATGGGGGAGGGTTGTGCTTTGTAGCCTTGTGCCCCAGCACTGGGGGGCTGTGGGAGCAGGGCTCAGGAGAGCGTGGTAAAGGCAGGGTGAGGGAAAGCAAAGCTGTTTGGTTGAGTTCCATCGCTTAAAAAGGTACCAAGTGTAACTTAATTATCCTTATCCCTTAATTTTTGCTGTGCTTTCATACCTGGTTAGACAGACGTGTACTGTAACTGTTGTCATGCTGTTGCTTGCACATAGTTCTGAGCATGTCTCACAGTCTGTTTTTGGTTGTTTTTTTTCCTTCCTGTGGAGAAGAGTTGCTGTTTTGTTTCTGATTTGTTTGGGGGAATTTGTTGCAGGAGGGTTGGGTATATGCTGCCCAGTCTCAGTTTACAAGGCTTTCCTTTCTAGATCACACGTATTGTAATAGCAGCGTTAATTAATGGTGTTTACCTAATTTCAGGATCCTGGACCACCACCGCCTTCACCATTGATGGGTTTGAAGCCACTGCAGTTGCTAGAGATCAAAGCCAGGGGGCGATTTGGGTGTGTGTGGAAAGCTCAGCTGCTGAATGAATATGTTGCAGTCAAAATATTCCCTATCCAGGTAGGCAGAAGTTCTTTGTGTCCTGCACTGCCAACTTACTGTACTTCAAGCTGTGTTTTCTAGTCACAGTGAGAACCTGTTGTTTTAGAGAACTTTCATCCCATACGGTAAGTCTAGTTATTGCAGAGATGTTCTCAGGTGTGGGAAATACCTTCAGCCAAAGCATGTGGGGTTTTATTAAATGCAGAAAGTGTTTATCAACGAGACCTGAATTCTGTGCAGCCTTAAAGCAAAGACAATAAAAATACCTGAACGTGAACACTTAAATACTGCTTGCTGTTGTTCTCACATCTTTCCATCACTTGAGATCTAATTAAGTTGTACTTGGAGTGAATGTAAGCCAGTAAACATGTTCTGCAATGCAACCCTGTGAGGTGATTGTTCCACTTAAATGAAATACTGTTGACTTCCCAGCAAGTACCCTCTGAAAGCCATGTTTAAAACAGGTTGTGCTCACAACAGTAAGGGCAAATTTACATAGAGTCCAGGACTGTCACATGCAGTGACACCAGGGTAGATGGTACCTCACTTACAAACAGCCACTGCTGCTACCTGGAGCTTTGTGAAGACTTGCAGAGTGCAGACTCTAATCCAGATCTACAGCTTTCTGTGTTTCCATGATTCCTGTATCTGATAGCTGGTGTTGTTTCCAGATGATACAACATACTTAATTTTTCAGACATTTTTCCACTGTGCTGAACATGTAATATATGTGAAGAAAGACCATTTTTCTGTTCTTGTAAATGTTGAGTAGTATGTAGAACCAGTAGCATTTCTAAATATTTAATACTGAATACTGTACCTAAACATCTGTCATTTCAAAGTAATTAATCTCATAATGCTGACAGTGTACACTGTGCTTTTACCACTCTTTCCAATAGGTAATAAACCCTGATTTGATTACAAATAAAACAAAACCAACAGGTTTTCATCATAATGACAGACCACTTAGCAGTGCATGGGGAACTACAGGAGGAGATGTCTGACAGAGGGCCTCTGACTGTGGTATTAACTTGGTGTTTGGTGTTGGTTTTGCTTGTTTAAAGGACAAACAGTCGTGGCAGAACGAATATGAAATTTACAGCCTACCTGGAATGAAGCACGACAATATCTTACAGTTCATCGGTGCAGAGAAACGAGGCACCAGCATTGATGTGGATCTGTGGTTGATTACAGCATTTCACGAAAAGGTTTGTTGCAAATACGACCTTCAGGTAGTTGAACAAAATGTAAATAGCTTTCACTTACCGTTAACTTCTGCTGGATATGGATTGATTTCAGTTTCTTCTCAGCTAGCTGATACAGTTGTCGTCAGTCTGTGCTTAGTAAAGAAGCTGGTTTACAAAACATAGAAAAAACTGTTCTGCCTTTGTGCTTCTCACAGCATGTTTAGTTTTGCATGGCCCTCATCTAAATTTGCCTGAATTAAGTAGAACTCCATCTCGTGGAGATTGTGTTGTAATGTTTTCAGTTCTGGCATTTTTGTCCCATTCATGCCTCTTCTTTAATTGCTGAGAAGATTAAAACTATCAACTGCTTGCAGACCTTCACAGACAGTGGGGTAACACCAAACTGATCTGCCTTTCTGAAAGGATACTGCTGTCGTTTTGGTTTTGTCCGAGAGTTTATCTGAGATGACTCTGGAAAATACAAAAAATACATCTATTTTTAAAATGTAGTTTCTATGCTTTGACAGCATTCAGTCCCTTCTTCCCTTTTCTGTTGGCTTTTCCCATGTGACACAGTGACATATCAAGCTGGAGTGTAAATCCATAGTAAATCCAGGAGCACGTGGGGGGAAGTGGAAGTGAGTTTGAGAAGTGCTTTCTATTGACTAGATTTTGCTTCACAGTCTCTCTCTATTCAGAATATGTACTTGGATGTTGGATTCACAGTCATTAGTCCAAGAGAAAAGACACCATCAGTTAAAGGGCTCAGAGGGCACGTCCACAGTTGAGCAGATTCCTGAAGGTGAATCTAACCTGCAGTTTCCTGTGGCTGGAAGGCCATAAACCGCCCTAAAAAAGCAGGGTTGTCTTCTTCGTAAAGAACTTAATTGTGTAAGCTCCTATTTCTGCTGTGTGCAGATTGTTGGCATGTGTGCCACGAACTTGAGTTGACTTCTGCTGCCCGGTTATCGAAGTGACACATGGGCACATCTCCATTCTATCCACAAAGATGGTGTGAAGGTTAATTTCTCGTTGTAGTTTGAGCCGGCGGTAGATACGTGTGTGCAATGATACGATGTATCACAAAACAGGAAGGCAGATAAGCATAGCATGGTATTTTAGGATGCAGGCTATGTAGAGGTTTTCCTTACGGCTTGATGGGAGTGAAATTTATCTTAGCGTTGTTCTTTTTTTGCCACACAGGGTTCATTAACTGACTTCCTCAAGGCTAACGTGGTATCCTGGAACGAGCTGTGTCACATTGCTCAGACCATGGCTCGAGGCTTGGCTTATCTCCACGAGGATATTCCAGGGCTAAAGGATGGACATAAACCCGCCATCTCACACAGGTACGGTGCTGTGAGGGATTTGCAGCTGATGGTTAATGTTTAACCTGGAGCCAAAGGACGTGAAATATGGATGGATACAAAGTACTCAGAAATTACTGTGATAACTTCCTTCTGTAGATATCAGGAGCCTAATAAGGAAAATCTGCCCGGCCTAAGCAGAAAGCTTGATGTTTTATAGAGGGCAGCGGGGTGATTGCAATTAATGTGACTGTTTTTACGCAGTCACTGAAGTATCCTATGCAGTATATAAAATGACTGACAGTACAGCTTTTGAAACAACTTACACACTTCTGTGTGTATGTGTAAGTAATACTGAGTGCCTTCAGATGGAAACATGCTGTAAGTGGTGGTTCTGTGTGGTATTTCTTAATACTATGTATGTAGATATATATATATCACTTCATATGATATTTCATGTTCTGGATTTCTAATTCTTTTCTTTAACTTGAAAGGGACATCAAGAGCAAGAATGTGCTGCTGAAAAACAACCTTACAGCCTGCATTGCTGATTTTGGTCTAGCTTTAAAGTTTGAGGCTGGAAAATCTGCAGGAGATACACATGGACAGGTAAGGATGGACTGTTTACAGGAACAACACAACTGTAACCGGGTGTGAACAGAAATTGATAGTGTGTGCCTTCTTCATGTGAAGGATGCTGTATCATCAGCTCCATTTGACCTTTAAGAGAGATGGCAATTCTGACCTTCTGCTCACACAATCAATTAATGTTACTCCGTGCTGTAGGTAATTAAAGATGACAGCTTTTTGTCCCCTGCCCCTGTCTCACTGCTCGCTCCTTTCCTCCCATTTCACGCTGATGGGCAGCTCAGCTCCACCTCACCACTCTCTCACTTCCCTGCTTCGAAAGCACAGGGGGAGAAAATACAAGAGATAAAGGCCTGTGGGTTGAGATGAGCACAGGGAGATCCCTCACCAACTCCCATCACGGGCAAAACAGATGCAGCACAGGGAGATGAGTTTATTGCCTGTCCCTCTGCTATGAATTCAGTGCTTACCATGCAGCAGGGAACTGGCTTTGTGTCGTGTACTTCTTAAATAACAAGCTTGAGCCTGGAGCATTTTGGTTTCTGAAAAACTAAATTTACCCTGTTTGAGGCAGAATTTCAGTTTAGGGATAAAAATAAAATCCTTATGTTAGGATTATAAAACCTCAGTAGCACCATTTAAGAGAAACGTATCTATTATTGTGGAGGCTGAATGTTCAGACATGGTGAAAGCTCTGATTTATTCAGTGACATAATTGCATCTGTTGGTTGTGGGCACAATGAAGGGGTAGCCCCAGAGTTTCCATTTAACATCCAGATTTGCATGAATGTCTCCATATAACTTTCTAGGTTTAAATTGGTTTTCCTTTGGTATTGTTACTTCTGTCGGGGGCAGAGGCATAAGCAAGTTCTACATCTTTATGTGCAACTGCAATAATTCTCAAAGAATGTATCCAGAATATCAAAAAATGAGTGGCCTTCCTGCAACCTGAAAGGGAATAAGGAACAGTTTTAGCAAGTACATTGAATTATTTGTAGAAATCTGTTATTTGAAATTATATTCAGACTGTCCTGCTTCATAAATATCCCTCGTAGGGCCAAGTTTAAAAAAGAAGCACAAAAACACTTCCTCTTATTCCAGAAGAATAAGATTTAGTTGTAAGCCAAGATAGCCGTGGCTGGTTTGAATCTCGGACAAAAGTTAGTGCTGCTCTACACTATTTTTCTAATAAGCACCATCTCAATAAAATGGTTATAGTGGGCACATTGGTTCTGAGCGTGCAATTTTGTTATGTCTGTGTCTCTCCAGGTTGGCACACGAAGGTATATGGCTCCTGAGGTCCTAGAAGGTGCTATAAACTTCCAAAGGGATGCGTTTTTGAGAATAGACATGTATGCCATGGGCCTGGTCCTCTGGGAGCTGGCATCACGCTGCACTGCCTCAGATGGTGAGCAAAATACCTGATTGCAATGCTTTATTAAATGGGAAGAAAAAGGAAGGTAGGTTGTATGCGTGCAACAGCGTGCATTAAGGATGGTAGTGAGCAAAGGAATGAGAAATGAAGAAGATTCTGCTGCTGATTTAACTGTAGGCGTGAGTGAGACACTGCTGTGGAAGCTCAGTGCCTCCCTGCCCAGTCCTTCTCTTTGTTGGCACTGGTGTGATGTGAGTTTTAACGGGTGTCAGGAATTGCTGATAGCTCAGAGACTGAAAACACGGCTGTGTCAGCAGTGTGCAGCATGGGCTGTTAGCTGGGAGCCTGTCACAGCTGTGTATTTTTCCATGAAGCAAACTGTTCAGTTTTTAAGCTATCAAGAAAAGATTTCCAGTACTGTATTTCAATACGAACGGTTCTCTTCGATTGTATAAGCAGACAAGTTCTCACAGTGTCCAGCATTAATGCAGGACAAGACAAAAGATGAGGCTCAAAATATTTGGGGACAGTTCAATTTGGAGTGAAGTCTTTAATGAAACTAACTATGAAAGCTCTGCTTGGGCTTCTGCTACCATTTGTCATGAGAGTTCTCCTGGACCGCTCACTGCAGCTGGAAAACATCCACTGCAAAGCCAGGGTGTAGCAGAGATCTGAGATGAGCGTGAGGCCGCTCAGTGCTTTTCTGCTCCAAATACTCCTCGCAGAGTGGGAGCCACGAGGGAGGCTTTTGCCCTTTTAAAGATGTTAAGCCGTTTACTAACGGAATCGATGCGCTCTCGGAGGCAGACCCACATTCTGTATTGATTTCTCTTGCCTCCTTGTACTGTAAAACATACGTACCTAAATCTTACTAGGAGTGTGTTGTAGATCTCTCTGGCAGGTGTGGTTATTATTCCAGAAAGTGAGGGAGATGTGAAAGGAAAGCAGCCTTCCCAAGTCACAGCTGTGTGCAGCTCTGCATTCACAGCTGCTTTCTGTCTCTGAACTGCCTTGTTTTCTACACGTACCTGGAGTGCTCACTGAGCCTCGGTGGGCTCTGTGCTGTGCTTCTCTGTTCATATTCCTCTTCCTCCTTTCCCTGTGTACCCTGTGTGTGGCTGCCATGGGTGGGAGAGCAAAGGCTGTGAGCTGTCAGCGAGGGGCTGAGCTGCTGCTCGCCTGGCGCAGTGTGAGCTTTAGCAGCACCGGAAGTGAAACTACACCGTAAGCCTCTGATGGGCTACGTTTCTAACACAGAAATCTTCTTTCCTTTAAGCAGAACTTGTGGTTTAGCTATCTGTTTGTTTGTTTGTCTCCAGGCCCTGTAGATGAATACATGTTGCCATTTGAAGAAGAAATTGGCCAGCATCCTTCCCTTGAAGACATGCAGGAAGTTGTGGTTCATAAAAAGAAGAGACCTGTTCTAAGAGAGTGTTGGCAAAAGCATTCTGTAAGTAGTTCTTACTGGTGCTGTATTTCAAGTTTGAACAGTTCTCCTAAATTTTATAAGCAGACAAGTTTTTATGGTGTCCAGCATAAGTACTGCACCAGGTTCTGCTGTGATTTGAATTTCAGGTAGTGTTAATCCTGGGTGGCGTTCACACAGTTGTCTTTTAGGAAGAATTTAAGCATAGTCAAACTTAAATGAACGCCATAAAGAAGTTCCTTCTCATCTTGAGTGAATTGAAAGTACTTTTTTTGGTTAAAGAAAAGATTCTTTGGTTTTATGTCTGAAATGAAATCATGCATGATAAAATTAAACGTAGGAAATAATAGTCTTGATTTCCTCCATGAAAGCTCCAGGCAGTGCATGCAGTAACACAGGGTGAGCAGTGTCATGTGGGAAATTCAGGGGGCTGTGAGGGAAGAGTAACTTCTTGAGTTGGCTTTGGGCCGGAGACTTGCACTGATGCTGCTGTGCATTCCTTGCACTGTTTTGATTGGTTTTGTTTTGCTTTGTTTTCAAAAAAATGGGTTATTGGAAACAATAGATGACAGTGTCTGCAAGGCAAATGTGTGCGCTGCCATCTGCTCCCTGTAATCAGCACACTGCTGTGCTAGCTGGAGAGAAACGAGCTGCGGCGGGTGCAGATCCCCTTCTGTACCGTTTGGTTTCACGTTGTCCCTGCGTAGCTTCACCTCTTGAGTGCGAGACCTTACGAAGTTCCACAACGGCTGCCAGCAGATGGCAGCGTCGGGCACAAAATAAACAAGGTGTAAGGCCCACGACGTGCTGGCTTTGGAGACAAATTTGGCCACAGGGATAAAACGAGGCAGATGTATCTTAGACCGCAGCCTGCTGCTGGGAGTTCCCCTGCACGGAGCTTGCTGAGCTCGTGGCACGCTCCCTCACCCTGCCTCTGTTTGCCCGCAGGGAATGGCGATGCTCTGTGAGACCATCGAGGAGTGCTGGGATCACGACGCAGAAGCCAGGCTGTCGGCGGGGTGCGTAGAAGAACGCATTATTCAGATGCAAAAACTAACTAACATTATAACGACAGAGGACATTGTGACTGTGGTCACAATGGTGACAAATGTTGACTTTCCTCCCAAAGAATCCAGTCTATGATAGTTGCACTGGTCACGTCACTGACCAACGGGACTCTCGACTGGAGCTGCTAAAGCTAACGGGACTGCTGTCGTCGTTGTGTTCTGTGTGAAGCGACCGCGGGGTCTCTGGGAGCATCTTCAGGAGGTGTTTCCCTTTCTGCTCCCCCTCCTCCTCCCACACACGAATCCATGAGACTTTCTGCATTCCCTGCTGACGCCGGAAGGACACGTGATGAGGTGGCAGTGTGCTGCTCAGGGCCTGGAACGAAGAGCGGACCTGGATGGGCTAACGGAGCGTTTTAAAAACTGACATCAGATTTCTTAATACCTGTCAGAAGAGACTAATTCCTTAAATGAACTACTGTTATTTTTTTTAAATCAAACATTTCATTTCAGATTTAAAAAGAAAAAAAAAAAAAAGAAAAAAAAGGGTAACTTGTTTTTATTGCATTTGCTGTTGTTTATAAAGATGACTATTGTAATGCCAATATGACACAGCTTGTGAATGTTTAGTGTGCTGCTGTTCGGTGTACATAAACAAAAGTAATCAAGTGGGATATAGCAAAGAGGCTTCCAAGTATTACTTAACCTCCCTCAACAAGGTATACCTCAGTTCCACCTCTGCTAAATTATGAGATTGACAACACTAACAAAATTGGAATAATAAATTGATCCGTGTTTTGTAAATGATGTATTTCAAATTCACTGTGTTATTTAAAAAGGGTAAGCTATGCTTCATGCCAACAGTAAATGGCCATTCCTAAAGCAGTGTTTTTAGCCTTTTTCTTGTACTAGCCTGTTGTGTGTAAAAAAAAAAGTGCTGTTTATTGAAACGACCTTTTCCTCCCTGTTTTAGTTTGAAGCTTTTTCTCTTCCCTCTGTTTCCCAGAGTATCTCATACATTTATTTAATGGAATGCTATTTAGGTTTGCTGTGTCTGAGGAATAGTTGAAAGCTTAAGCATGACTTTTTTAATTTTCTGTGAGCTGTGACACTGGAAAGCTCTGAGATCTTAGACTTTTTTTATTTTATTTTAAAGAGAAGTTCTTTTTCCTATTTATGTTTGTGACGAGGTCTGCCTAGCGTGTTCTCTGTCTCACTAAACAGGATGCAGTGGCTTCTGTGTCTCTGTTTCAGGATCACCTCAGGAAGCTCAGTTACCCCAAATTCCTTCCTCTCTGCTTTGAGATTTGCATCTTCGCTCTACTTCAAGTTGGTGCCATCTTATCAGCGTACTGCTTGCTGTCTGTGATACACGGGCTTCTCCAACCCCAACTGAAACCACCGCCACACTTTTCAGATGCTAAACACTTACAGATGTCAGGGATAATTCAGTCACAGTGTAACTTAAATATGCAATGACAAATCAGAGGTAACGAATACCGCTGTCCGTGCCGCAGACTGGCAGAAACGTAGGGAAGAACACTGAAATTGCTTTTCACGACTCCAATGTTATTTTTGAGTTTCAGAAGTCATGCCTTACATGTAAATTATAAATGGACTGGTAGATAGGTGCCAAAGTGCTTCTCAGAAGTACTGCTCCACCAGGTTTATTGGGTCCTTTACACAGAGTACAATAAATGCGTTAAACCTCTGGATTACAGAACTGATGTCAGCCAGTGCTGTGCTGTGCGTTGTTATCACCGCGTGTTTGTTATCACACCGAGCATTGGAGGGCTTTGGAAATTAGCCTGTAATGTTACAGTTAGGGGCTCACTGTGAACGTTACCTTGGAAGATTGGTCTGTACAGCCCCAAGGTGCTGTTCTACAGGGACTTCATCTCTGGCAAAAATAATGGAGGTTACAGCAAACAGGACGTAGGTCAGTGTGCTCTCAGCAGGGAGGGAAGGCAGGGCTGCGGTGGTGCTCTGTGCTGCACTCCCTGTGCTGTGTCACACTGTTGCTCGGCCTTCTGCTGAGGTTCCATGTGGCTCAGAAGGGTTGCTGCTACTGCAGGGTGCAGCTCCATGGTGTTCAGCTGGGTCATAAAAAGAGAAAAGCTGCTGCTTGTGGCCACTTGAATTGACGTTTTCATTTTGCTTCCATTTTTACTCCATGGATGCCATCTTCTGCACTCAGCAGGGCATAAACAGAGCTGCTGAGTTCTGAACAAATAAGGATCCATTTGTATTTTGCTAAAAACCTTTGTGCTCCCATTGAGTTTCAACCCGTTTCCCAGCAGAAGTAGAATAAATACAGGCCAAATTCTCAAGCAAAGAGTGGTCCTGTCCAAAACACACAGCACTTTTGTGTTGTCCTCTAGGCTTCAGCCACTGCAGGGTCTGGCAGCAGAGAGCTGCACCCCTGCACATGCTGAGCTTTGCCCCAGGAAACCAAGATTGCTTTTCTTTGTGTTTTAAAACTGCATTGGGGTATATCTGAGCTTTAAATACTGCGCTACTCTGAATTTCCTGATTTGCAACAGCATATTTCAGTGCAGCTGTGAAAAAAGATATTCACAGTACAAATGCTTTCCAATTGGGTTGGGTACAGCTGCTCTCGCAGGGCAACTCCGGTTAACTTCTGGTTCACTGCTGGAGCATTAAACGTGCAAGCTGAGAAATGTCAGAGCCAGCATTTTTGGAGCATAAATGCAAGCAGGATGCAGCGAGGTCGATGCAGTGGAAGCATTTCAGCATTACCCACGTGCAGTCAGTGCCTGCTGTCCCTGTGTTCTTTAGGAACAAACGCGTGGCTGAGCGCTGCAAAGCTCCCCGGTACCTCAGCTCCTGAGGAGAAGTCAGTCCAAAGACCAACATTGGTGCATTCACTACAACACAACCAGCCAGGAAGACGGCCAGGAAGCTCCTGCTCGTGTTCGCACTGGCCAGAAAGAACAGGGCCCTCACTCTGCTCTTTTTCCAGCTTCTCGTTTGTAGCCTTTTTTAATACGACGCCGTTTATTAGGAACACTTGGTACAAAATGCAGAAAGCTGTGATGTGGGTTCATGGGCAAAACGATTCAAGTAGCATCCGTGATGGAACATCTTTTACCTCAGATACTCAACCAGCAGTACTTTTTTTTTTTTTTAATTATTATTTTAAGTGCAGTTTCAGTCCATAAACTATTCGTTACCTCTCAAGACTTTGGTAAGCAATTATTTTAACTTTACTCTTTGTATTTGTCAGTGTTTTGGGCACAGGTTGTTGTACTACTGTCAGATGTGCTTGCTGTTTTTCTGCAAGTACGAAAAACAAACCCTCCCCTCCCGATAAAGTGATTGTTAAATATTGTACAAATACAAATGTATGCTCTTTTTCCCCTATTCCCCCAAAAGTTAAAATAAAAAATGTGACTACTACGACTCGCAGATGCTTTTTTTGCTTGTTTTGAGTTTGTGACACCTGAAGAGGAGAAACAGCTATTTCTCTACTTCTGCAGTCATTTCCCCAGCAGTTCTGCAGGAGCTGCTGTTGCTCACCAGCACTCAGGTGCCCCCAGCAGCACTGCGCAGCACAGGAGGGGGGTTGGAAGGGTTTGCAGGTAATTGAGCTCAAACTCTGAAAACATTCAGCTTCATCAGCCCAGCCTTTAGGCTGGAGATATCTACCATCCTATTCTATTTTCTTTCCCCAGCCTGCTGTATTGCAACTGTACATTTGGTCCTACAAGTGGCACTAGACTGAAGTCAGACTTGTTGGTTTTCTGTGAAATTGTAAATCACACTTTCAGCATAGATCAGATACGTGGGTTCAAGACCACTAAATAAAGCCACTTCCACCTGCACAGAGGAGCTCTAACACAGCCTCAGTGGGCAGAGTTGTGCAAACGGTGACCTCGTCCAGAAGTACAGCACTGCAGTCTGCAGCAGAGGTGCAGATCTCCCCCGGCACTGGGATAGCTCTCCTCCTGGCATTGCTGTCCTGTTCTGGACCAAGGGTCTCAGATTTCCCACCCCTGACCCTCAGCAACAGGGGTCTGAGCAAAGGTAGAAGAGAGAAGCTGCTCCAAGCAACCTTTCTCCATCCCCATGCGCAGTCCTGCAGTCCCCAGCCTTCTGCTCCTGTCCCCACTCTTTCCTTCCAAAGGACATAAGAGGAGGAGCAGATAGCTAACACCAGGCTTTACAAATTAGCTCATAAATGGCAGCTTTGAATTATGCTCACTGGACTGCAGAATGAACCAGCTGTTGTTGCTGATTAAATACTTCTCTTTCTGTAAAAATTTTTCTGCTTAAAAAACCTTGCAACCAATTTCACTTGGTTTCCATTGCATCCTGATAGTCTCACGTACGTTGCCTAAGCCACCACTTGGAGGAACCACATCACTGTCATGACTCTCCTGCTAAATATTTTGCTGCCTTTCAAAGCACCGCTGTGTCCTGTAAGATGCACAGACAACACCTTCGAAAGTAAGGCAGCAGAGGAGGAAAGCAGCAGGACACAGAGTGGGTGGGTAAGAGAGGCAGCTTCACATAAAAACACCACTTAGCAGATGAAGCTGGCTGTGAGTGAAGGTTTGACCTGACAAAGTTGTATTGCAGATGGATCAGAACCTACAGCCTGAAAGCCACAACATCTGCTGCAGTTTGCCACTGAGCTGAAGCAGTCTTAATCTGAAATGATGAAACTCAGAAGAGCAAGTGCTTTGATCTCTACAAAGTAAAAATAGTGAGGAAAAGGGTTTAGCTCAGCTCAGTGCTTTTAAGGCCTTCAAATTCATTGCTATTACATGTTCGTAGGACCGTGGTTCTTCAAAATTAAAACAAATGCAAAAACAACTGGTCAAGCACAGCAAAGAAACCTTGCAAAAATTTATTCATCTGACCCCCGGATTGGGGGTGTGACATCCTGCAGAGACTGCAGTTACCTCCACATGTCCTGATGCAGTGTGCTGTGAGGTTCCAGACGTTCACAACCAACTCAGCGACGACGCTGCCCACTGCTTGACGTCTGTGGGGCAGTTGGGATACGCCTGCAAAGCATCCATGATTTGGTTGTTGTCCAAAAGCAGCTCCATTAAGAGGTACTCTCGCTGAGAACGCACCGACGGCCTTTCTATGGGCTTCACTAATTCCAGCTGCAGTAAGTGTTCAAATGCCTGAAAGCAAACAAAAAAAAAAGATGAGAATGAAGACAACATCGCTCTGAGCCGCGCTGGTTTGAATGACACACGAGATGCTGTTTTAATAGAAGCCTGTGATGTGCTACAGCAACAGACAGACATTAAACACCAGCTCTGTTCTGCCCTATGCCCATTTTGGTAGACAGCAAGCCACAAGAAATGAATAGAATAATAGTATTTTCTAAGAAAAGCATACTTAAAATCTTTTGTATATACTATCAAACTCAGCTTAGAAGTGACAAGATCAGAGCAGCTTTGGACTACTGAACTGCTGGTTGCAGTTAAGTTCATGAACTGAACACACCTGCACAGCCACGTGTTGGGCCCTACAGAGATGCCACCCAGAGCCCAGCCTGAGCCCAGCCAAAAACAGAGCAACAGCCCAGCAGCCCCAGCGAGCACCAGGTAACCAAAGTGACATTTGTCAGTTTGCACTTCTGATTGTAGTTGGTCGGAGGCAAATACTGTCCTACTACACCACACACTGACTCAGAACTCCACTCAGACCTATTCAGAAGTGGACCAAGAAAAACAGGTTTTTGATGTGGTAACATTTGGGAAGCACTACCAAACAGCAGAAGCAAACAAGCAAGCTGAGGACAGCGACGCATCCCCACGGACACACAAATGCCTCCTGTGGGAGCACGAGCCACCTGTGCTAACACTCATTTCTGCCGGCCACCACACTTAAATCGGTGGTGCTCATTTGAGAACCAAAGAACCCGCAGCGCGCCGCACTCACATTTGAGTGCCTGCCGGACCGCAGCGGGCAGAGACCAGCAGAGGGCAGTGCAGCACCGAGAGCACGAAGCGGGGCTGCGGCTGCTCCCAGCACGGCTCTGCCGGCACGGCCTCCAGCTCCGCCTCAGCGCGTTGTGTGACCGCCCGCCCTGCCCGCGCACCTGCCAAAAACGCATCTAAATACTTCAGAAAAACGCACGTCTCGGGTTTACCTTCATAACGACGGGCTTTTCGAAGTTGTACATGCAGTGTGCCTTCCTTTGGATGAACTTCTGAAATTCTGCAGAGGTGAGAGGCAGGCAAAGTTACTTGGGGTGAAGCGAGAGATTTATTGTACGTAGAACTGATGCGTTGCTCTCACCATTGTAAACCATCTGGAAGTTAAATGGCTCTCCTTCATAAACCTCATTTAAGTGTTTCATAGCTATAATTAGGCAGATTTCCAGGACAGACAAACCTAGAGGGAAAGACAAGACCTCTAAGTGTTTTTCTTAAGCTTACCCAAAACGCAAGCAGTTCATATGCAATTTTAAATACTTTTTGTAAGCTGTAGGCTTCACATATTTGTGGTTTTTATCTTCCTAATTGTAATGCAATTCCAGAATGGGGAAGCTAGATAAAGCAGAGCATTAGTTCTCCAGATATTTGAAATGAGAATGTTAAGAAGCTGTTTGTCAAAACCCCAGAAGTTTAACTATAACAAAAAACCATTATTGCAGACAACAGATATCCAGGCTGGATGTGGCTCTGGGCAGCCTGGTCTGCTGGTTGGTGACCCTGCACGTAGCAGGGGGTTGAAATAAGATGATCACTGTGGTCCTGTTCAACCCAGGCCATTCTGTGATTCCGTGATACAGCACGACAAAGAATTTTGGGCAGCATCAAATCCATCTACATGCTGCTGTACAGCATGTCACGAAATGAGAGTTTGAAGGGGTTACTTGCCATGCAGAGCTAAAGAAGCAATGCAGTGAAATGCTAACAGGACACTGGGATTCACAGGGCCAAGGAAACCAAAGCCTGCAACTTCCAGGAGCCAAGAAGCAGCAGTGGGATAAAAGCAGTTCCTCCTGTAAATGCATTTGGGCTCTGTACCCTCAGCAGCTGTTTCTTTCTTTTCACTGTTTGCATGAAAACTTCAGCATGTTGCTCAACACATTCAGGAAGGGAACTCCTGGATGTTCAGGTCCAAGCAGCACTACCTGCAGGGTTTTTTTTCATTCAGACTCCCACCATCACCAGCACAGAAGGTGTTTTCCCTTCTTCTGTCATTGCCATGGGACAGAAGTGCCACCCCTGCCCACGTTACCAGCACTTTCTTTGGCACTGAGAGCCATCAGACACACCATAGTGGGGCACTGGCCAAGCTCCCCATGCAGTAATTACACAAATCCTTCACTGTATAACTGAATTTCTGGTTTATTCAGCACTGTTGCATCCACGCACAGATGTAAGAAGGCAGATAAGTGGGAAGCAGCCCTATGGGTAGATGTATTCCCCGACCCAGCCATGCCCTCAGGGATCAGCGTGTTACACAGCAGCCCTTACATCAGAAGAACCTCAAGGATGGACTGAATGCTTGCTGTACTATTAAACACACAGTCAAAAAAGGCCTGAGCTTTACCATGGACAATATTTGCTTTCGAGTCCATCCTGTACTGCTTGCTTGCCTCCTGAAGATCTGATGCGGTGATAAGAGGGTGACGAACAGTAACATTACTTAGAGCAAGCATCTAAAAATAAAACAGAAGGCATTTTTCATTTAATCACTAATTACCAGGCACACTTTCTACTCAGAGATGGAATGCAGAAGAACACATTTCCCCTGGAGTCACCTACTGGGAACAGTCATGAATAAACCCTACACACACAGTATGCTCATACAAAAACCCTGTAAATAGCTGGTAGCAACATCTATGTTTTGCCAGGAAGGTTTTCCAGGCTCAAAACTTTAAAGCCTCCTCACCAGAGGACATAAACACTCATTAGCTTGTTTATATTAATTTCAATGGATTAACATACTTCAGTGATTGCTGCAAGAAATTACTTACAGCTATTCCAAACAGACTTCTGCATGCAGAGCTACTTGTGTCACTGCTAGGAAAGCATCTGATGGCAGCTCATGGTTTACAGGAGGCAGGGTACCAACCAAGGGCATCTAATAAACATTCCCACTGAGTCACAACTTGAATCATTCAGTCTTCAACTGCCTGTCACAGAATGCCAGTTTTGAACAAACTGGAGTTAATAAACACACAACTGCCTGACCTCTTTCACCACCACTCCTTCAAAGCTATGGATTATCCAGGACCTTCATACAGCAGCAGGTACAAGCACCGACCTTCACTTGCTTTCTTTAGTAGTCCAATATTCATTGAGACAGAAAAGCTGGCTTTCAGTGACTGCCTCCTCCTTTTGCATGTCTGTGCGATGAAAAAATGCCTGTTTTATCTACTGAATGCAGATCTTCCACTGAGATCAATCCAACGCTTTCTACCACCACATACTTGTTTTTGTCCTCCTCCACTCCTTGCAGGTGTCAGTGTAACAGCCTCAAAAAGGAGTGTGATCACCCAGCTTCCAAAGGAACTGAACGAGGTTTTGGACTACGAAGGCTAATAGGGATCAGCTCTGACACACCTTGGAGCTTAAAGAAAAGTTATTCCCATCAGCCATGGACTCTTTCTGGCATTCATCCATACCACACAGAAAGAAACAGGTGCTGCTAAACTCGGAATAGCTGGCAATCTTGTAACTAACTCAATGAAGCACAGGACCAGCAGAGAAGAGACTCTGACCACGCTCCACTTTCAGCATCACAGCCAGAAGCCAACGATCCACGTATCACAGGATAAAAACTGAGATGGGAAAAGCTGCAAACACTACACAGGACAGCCCAGCACAAAGCTGAAGGGAAAATCTGAGCACTTGCACACAGTGACACTTATGCTTGGCAGGCTTTTCACACAGGCAGAAGCATGGAGATATTTTGTGGTGTTTAAATTAATGCTACCCATCTTCTGTAAGATGTTTCACAGAAAGCTCTGACAGCTGCCTCGAAAACAGCTGTGATCTTCACAGGTGATGGTTATTCAGGGAGATACTGTACCCAAATACATACCAGCAGGAAATGGAGCGAACGCAGGTCTTTGCTGTAGTGAAAGAGGTTCTGCAGTACATCTTGAACAGCTTTGTCTTCTGATAGAAGCTACAAAAGAAGTGGTATTTTCGTCATCTCAGCACGTTACTTGTTAGCTAACCATCACACAGAGCTCAGTCTGCACTGCCAATGCAGTTCTTCATGTGTAACCTGAACTTTTTGGTCTTCTGTGCTACGCTTCTGTGTCCACACTTCAGCAATCAAAGATTGTCTACTGCAATTTGATTTAACTCATAAGATATCATATATTGAAAGGAAATACTGGTCTAAGACAAAAAGATCTTATTGTACAAGTTTTACTAAAGCCAAATATCAAGAGCTTTAGATACCTGAACGTTGCTATTCCATTTCTGTGCAAAAGCCTTGTCAGGAAAGTCAGCAGGAAGAGAAAGCTGCTCCTTGAATATCCTAATGTGCTGCTTAAAAGTAAAGGAATTCATCAAGTAGATCTGTCGGTGAGAGAACCTCGATTTCACTCTCTTCTCCAAGAGCTCCAGAATATCCTTGCAAAAATAATTATTATTATTATTTAGTGCATTCTTTGTTGCAGTGGAAGAGACAATTAAAAACCCACCCAAGTGAATTCTCAGACTTCAGGCGTTCCTTTGCTAGTTACTGTAACTGACATGCCTTGAAGTGCCTAAGAATTTGCCATTCACCCAAACCACGTGGTGCACTACATCACACACAGTAATTAGTTGCTAGGAGACGTGGCAAATTTCTGCACAGATGCTGCAAATATTTCAGTTCCTTAAGCCTGAGCTCGAGACTTTGCAGCCCCTCACGGCTGAGAGAAGCTGTGTGCTTGGCTGGCAGCTCACGTGCCTTCTGTCAGCCTGAAAAAATCCAGCTACAAAAATGCTAAGAGCCAATACGTATCTTCCTGAGCTGCCACACAGAGCTCAGCACGGCTGCCATCAAGTTGGTGGCTGAACGTAATGCAGAAAGTCTTATTTTTCTCAGAGCTGATAGCAATAGATCAGCATCAGAAGCAAGCTGTGTTTCCTCCACTTGGAGCAGTCCTGTTCCCCACACCGTCTGCTGGCGCAGAACTATTACTGTTTCTTGCAATTTTTCCCTTCTCCCTTTTACTTGCAACAAAACCAGCTTTCAGAACATCAGAATCCCTCACCAGAAAGCGTGGTAAGAGTCAACAGAGCACCAACAGTGAAAAAAACTGGGCCTACAAGACACACACACACAACAAGCAGTTGAAAAACTAAGCAGCAGTGGCTATCACAACCACAACAGCTTCCAAATGCAGATTCAAAAGCAGGGCAATATTGGGTTCTAAACTACAAAGGATGGAGAAGCCTGACTTGGACAATGGAGCAAAAAAAAAAAGGACTATAATTTAATATATCAATTATTAACCATTCTATTAAGTTGTAGCAGTTTGCTCAGTTAAATACCACCCAAGCCCCATCAACCTCAGATCCAGGCTTCAATTAAAGATTTAATGATTATTGCTCATTAATCCCTTTGCAACCAGTAGAGCTTACTAAGAAAAACAGTATGATTTTAAGTATCATCTTCCAGTGTTAGCAGTAATTACTTCACAGTACACACACATAGCTGTCCTCATTTCCCCGCAGTGTCATTGTAAAAATCACAACAAGTTTAATAAGGGTTTAAAATCCATGTTCAACATGCCAGTGTTACAGCAGAAGCACCCCACTGAACTGTTTCCTTTTCAAAAACCTAAAGATAAAATAAAATCCCTTTTGCTCAGAATAACAATTTAAATACGAGCCAATCCTCATCAAAAAGTGACCAAGAGTGAATGAAATCATAATGCAAAATTGCCACATGGATAAACACAGCTCTTCTGTGGTAACATAGGACAACAGTCCCTTCTCTCTTTAGAGACACAAACCTGCTGTTCCCTGAACAGGAAAAGTGAGGGTTCTCACCTTTTCGGTTGGCTGTGTTTGTGTCAGTGTCAGTTTCAATCCAAAAGCCACTGAGAAAGTCTCAGTGAATTAAGGAACGTGTCAGAGAACACTGCAACTAAGAAAAGAGCTGAATATTTTTGAGGTGCAAGTTCTTACCTGCCTGCATGTGAGTCCAATAACGGTTACTGGAGTCTGTGCTGACTGGGATACATCAAACAGGTTGTACAGAAGCGTCTGGTTCTTGTGATGCACAAACAAGTCAAATTCATCCAGCACAAACAGGACTGGGCAGCTGCTGGTTCTGTCTCCTGTGATAACAAGTTACAAAATGAGCGTGGTTGCATCACTGTCACTTCCATTTCTACACCTTTGCTTCACATCTCCTGCTCTTAATTACATGCATACTTACTTTCAGCTATTTCCCTGAGCCCTGTTCCTACATCACTGAAAAGACACACAGACAGACTGGTAAGTTTTATGCTATTTTGCCAAACATCATTTCTGGGTGCAAGGGACAAATTTCGATGGCTATTTTGTAGAAACACCATTTTTAATGGGTTCAGTCAGAACAAAAGAATCTACCCTTCATAGCTGACCCTCACATGTAAATCTTTATGGCACCATTTAAGCCTATGTTTGTTTAGTATTACGCATTTTTTACATTATTTTGTAACCACAACATTCTTGGGCCTCCTTACAAAGCTTCTACAAGACAATGAAGAAACAGCTGCACGCTTTCCAGTCAAGTGACAAACAAGCACACAGTTCCAGAACGGGGCTGGCACTGCTTACCTTTCCTTAAAGCTTCAAGGAGAAACACAAGATTTTCTGCAAAACTGCCCTACACAGAGGAAAAAAGTTTCAGAGTCATTTTGCAGCATCCTTGTCACAATTCTATAAGCTGAGACGCATAGATAAGCTCACTTCCTCCTAAAACTGTGATAACAAAACCAGTCCACATTTAAAAAGCTACAGTGTTACTTCATGGTGTATAATCAGAACTCTTGCAGCAGAGGAAACTGATTGTTCCACGCTGACAGCAGATCTCTGGCAAATCCAAACAAATTCCCTCAGCCTAAAATCAGTGATCAGAAGGATGTGTGTACTAAGTTCAACTTCCAAATAGCATTTTCTAGTCTTAAATAGCCACTGCACACCTAATTCTCTACTTACACATACACAACACCCATCCCCTAACAGGTACCACTGAAAACCAGCAGACTCCCACTTTTTCACTTGCAACCTTATGAGATCAAACATTCCCAGCAGAAAACAGTAAACTGCTATGACAATCCTTCTTCAGTCGCTACTTCTGTGCCAACAAGAATGTAAGATGGAAATGAATTCTAAATGAAGACCACAAGCCCTATTGAAGAACACAGAAAAGCCAGTTTCTGTGTTCAGTTTCCTCTTTGAAGGCGAGCTGCAGAACCTCAGGAAAGGTCTCTATAGACACAACAAGGACATTCCTGCAAATCAGTCTGTTTGGAATTAGAAAGCGGTGAGTTTGAAGAAGTATTCCACAATAAGCTGAAGGGAAATAGTAGGGTAATTAAACGTATTTAAGCTTAGTTTTATCCGTAGCTTTTACTTTTGGTAGTGGAGCTGTAGACCTTGAAAGGTTCTTCTAGTTCTCTGATGAAAAGTGAACACTTAATGGCCATGCTGAAACTGAGCACTTGCCATTTCCTTTTATGTCTGCAGCTACATTTAAGAAAACTTTAGCTCGCTGTCGTCCATTCTATGAACCCAAAATAATTTGGGATAAGCAGAAAAGCAAAGGCAAGCCTAGGAAGCAAGCATTTGCAAAAGATGATAAAGTGTGACTACAGAGCATTGTCCATCTTGTACTCCAGCCTGCCTAGTCTTCTGGAGCACCTTAGTTAATTAATCTCTGTGTTCCTGACTTCAGTGCTTGTGTAAGAAGGTTTCCCACCTTTGGGAAAAACGTCAATAGAAGCAAATATTAAAAGAAAGTCTATGCAAAATGAGAGCTCCAAGAAGGCAGCAAACTGGATAGATATCCACAGACATTAGAGATGGTTTCAAACTTACTAAACATGGTGCTTTTGGGCCAGTTAATTTGCTTACTGTTTGTCTTGAGATGTTATAAAACTGATGTTTCCAAAATTCTCTTATCCTCTGAACACAGCCTCTTTGGAACAATGAATATTCATTTCGTACAGAGGATTCAGCTAAGTCTTAAAAGAGTCTTTCCTTTCCTCCATTTATTTATTTTCAGCTGAAGTGAACGTTTTCTGAAGAGCTATCCAAAACTAGCCATGTTCAGGACTTCCATAGAACAGGTTTTTAGGCATGCATCAAGTGCCTGTAAACCAGGGTCATTAGAGCTAAAGGCTGCTACATCCCTTAAACCAAGCCAGCCCCCTGTAACCTTGCTAATGAACATTCAAAGCCCATTTGTTCTCAACAAGCTGCATTCTACAAAGCTAGTTTTGTAGGCAAGGATTTGAGAGGGAGATAAGCAAAGAATATAATAAAACTGATACTCACAAAAACTTTATCCCCAACCACATTTTCCAGGTGCAGCTGCCTGGTGATTTCTTTCAAGGCCACTTTATCATTTGTCTGCAAAAGCCCTGAAAGAAAACGACTGCTTGTGAAGAACTGGTGACTCTCCCTCATTCCAAGCAGCCATGCCTACAGCAACTAGAAACATACCCAGAAGCTTCTCTCACTTTCAAGCCTTACAAAGGCAGGCCTTTGTAAAAATACAGACAAGATGGTAATTTTCCATATATAATACAAAGTTACTTCAAATAACTTGTTCCCAGCTGAACTGATTTCTAATGTTCTGAGAGAAAGTCAAGTTATCTACGTGTACATGCAAAAGAAGGCATTCCGGAGCTAGCAGACAAGCATAGCCACGTTCAAGGGTAGACTGGAAATGTCAAAACAAAATCTCTCCTGAAGTACACATAACACACAGCAGCTGAATGCAGTGTATCTGAGGAGTGCTGCATTACTTGCCATTTAGATGAACTTCCAAGAGGTTCTCTTTCACTTGCTTCATTTCTCTGAGGCCTTTTAAGACGCGATTCAATAACTAGGAAAAAAGACACAAAACTTCTTTATAGCAAGATTAGCATATTAACTGTAACAAATATCTACAAATTGGTATTCCTAGACAGCCAATAGTATGTGCAGTTTCATTAGGTGACAAAACTTTATGAGTGTTTTCAGAAATGTTAAGGGGAAAACTTCACATTCACTTCCTGACATATTAATGCTCCATAAGCAGGTGCTGTTTATTCTGGATAACCCCTTATCCAACAACTCCAGCTGTACCTTCAAAGCCTACCAAAGACAAGAAAATTTAAAAAATATATTTTCTGCACAGCGAGAACACTTGTTGCTTAACTAACAAATTCACAGATCTAAGAAAGTAATCATCAATTCTACTTAAAAGGTAGCAAGAAGCACAAAAGTGGAAGAATCCTTTATTATTATGGGTTTATTGGCTCTTTTTTTCCTTCCCTTCATAGTATTTTGGCAATCATCCTTCTTTCAAAGCACTGTGGGTAAAGAAAGAAGGCAACAGCAGATTGTTTTCGAAATACAAACCAAGAAATCTATCAACAAATTGGTAGAATGATTTCAAGTATCAGCTGTATCATGAACGTGTTCTACCACCTATTCAAGTATTTATATTCAACTGTACTTAAAACATGGAAGGCTTAGCTTTAGCTCTTGGGAAGAGTTCCAAAGTTAACCTCAGACATATCTTTCAGTAAAAACTAACCTATTTATCAAATCACATACTGGTGCAAACATAAAACAAGTGCTTACATAATAGGATACTTTGGTTAGATGCCGTTGCTTCACGTGCCTCAATTTAAAAATTCCTTAAATACACAAAACCCACACTTACTGCAAGCAAAACACATCATGTCCTAACATAAATAATGTTCTGTACCCTTGTAACTTAGATAACAGCGTTATCTGACACATTTTAAATAGGATTAAGATGCGTTACCATTCTCTAAATAGAAATATGTAGAAGTGTACAAATCTGCCCTTGTGTGGGAACTGCTGAGTCACAGCCTGAACCACTGATGGAGCACCTGGGGAAAGGAGCTGCAGCCCTGGGAGCTCAGGTGAAAGCAATTCACGTGTGAGACAGGAGGGGGTGCAGCCTGGCTCCACCTCTCTTAGACCTCATTTAAGGGCTGACTGCCACAGGGAAGGATCTTTTTCTGGAGGTTCTTCCTTGATGAAGCTTTCCCCTGTGAACCTGGAATCTTCTGATAAAGGTGAGCAATCTTCTTCCCTTTCTTTATGGTACCTTTCTATAGTGCTGGTCCTTCTGTCAACACGCTTTTTCCATTGCCCTGATTCGTCCCTCTGCTGTAGCTCTTTAGTGTTTGCCTGTAGTTTTTGGATACCTGTTCAGTAATTGTTACAGATGCCTGATAGTAACAACAGGTGAACTTTTGAGGGACTTATCAAATAAAACCTGGCTTTAATTGCAAAGATGAATGCTTCCATAGCAAGCACTATAGCAGAAGTGTAAGTAACAGGAAAAATACTGAAAGGCTCTGTGAAACCTGGTAGAGACACAGAAGGGTTCCAAAGCCATGCATTCTTCTGCAAGTCATCGTGAAGATAGACAGGTACATGGTTTTGTTAGGTGCAGATGAAGCAGTTGGATTTTTTGTTGTTGTTGCTATAGTTGTTTTTATGAAATTACTATAAACTCAGCATCTGGAACACTTCAAATACTTGGGTGTTTTTTTAGGAAGACTATTTCTCCATACAGAATTCCCCCATTTAATAGAATTAGCTCACAGTAAATCCTAGAATGCTTTCTTGTTCTGCATAAACAACCAGGAGTTCTCTCCTTAAAAGCAGGCACAGAGATACAAACAAGCTCCAAAAGCTCTCATGATTTCAGTGAGATCACCTCCTCCATGCTTTATTAAACCTTGTGCTAACTTGTAATTTGTGCCCATACCGCAGTCTTTCCTGATCCACGGGGTCCAATAATGAGGGCAGAATTACTTTCTCCGTGAACTGCAGTTTGCTTCAGCAGTTCCAGCAGATGCCTGTGATGTAAACAGCAATACATTGAGCTTCAGATCAGGCAACATTCACTGCAATTAGGGGAAATTCAAAGAATCTTTCAAACAGAAGAAAAAACTCTGCATTTCAACTTCCTTTCAGCACGTACATTACAAAATGTAATAGGAGTACAAAAGCTGAGTGATTGACCTCTTAAAATACTTTGAGATATTAAATCATGTGGAAGAGTATCACTAATTTACAAAGTTCTACAGTTCTCTACCATCAAAGCACAAACTTTAAAAAAAAAAAAATCAATTCTTTCAAGAAAAGATCACTTTCTGTGACTCCATTGTAGCACATGAATATATTGACCAGTCTTCTTTCTTCAAGGAAAATCTTGACACCAATAAAACAATATAACCACCCAAAGAAACAAAGTAAATTTGTACATTTTCTTCAGAGAAACTGGTCACATAGTATCACATCCAAAGTACTGAAGAAAAAAAAAAAACCCTATTTCCAATTCACAAATACTTACAGATATATAAACTTAATAAGCTTATAATTCAATTAGAATGTTCACACTGCATACATACTTTCAAATAAGTTGTCATGGACTGGCTGTTGCAAATGTATTCACTTTTGCCTCCATTTGACACCTAACTATGGTGAAGATTTTACCTGATTATGTTTCTACTGTGGCTGAAGTAGGAATTACTTATGATTTTAGTGGTTACTCACTTGTACTGCTGATCCATCCCAAACAATTTTCCCACAGCATGATGGTGACACAGTCTTTCACGTAGCATTTTTTGCACCTACAGATATAATACAAGACTGAGAAATAACACTTGGTACTTCAAACACCTGGCTGTACCAGTAATGTAACTGATGTAGTAATAGCAAAATATGCATGCAGCTGTTCTACACGTAAGCTTTAGTTGTCCTCCATGGTAGAGGAGTAAGAATTAAGTTGCCATAAGCACAATATTCAACAGGAAAAATATATCTGGCAACAGCCATGTCAGTCTTCAGTTCCTTCTATTCCAATTTCTTCTCTCCCAAAGGGCTGTTACACATCACCAAAATTAGCTCACTAATTCATAATTCTAACTTCCTACATAACATAGGCCTGAAAACATTTGCCAGCAGACTTTAAAAAAGTAATCCACTAATCTATCTCTGGCTTGCACTTAGACTTGCACTAAATAGACTTTTTGCACCACTGGTAACAGCATTGCTGCCTGCAGTATCTGGTGGTTATAAAACAACAAATGTATCATCTTTCAAGATTTAATTCAGATTCACTGCTCCTAAAAATTGAGGGAGGAGAAGGGTAGGAGAAAAACTGAAGCTATATGTTGCACACAACAGAACAGAATGAAATTGTAAGCACCAGAATGACTATTAAATAAAGATCTAAAGTCTTTCAACTTTGTAAATAGCTGTATTTTGACCATTTGTTGGGATGTATTTAATGGGATAACTTCAAATATATATCTACATTGCCCTGTTTTCCACTTCAGAAACCTGTTGTTTGGAACTCTATCTTCAACTTTCAAATGTCCAAACCTCAGCATCACAGCATATTTTTTCTACCACCTGGCCAGCAGCACACAAACTGGTGCATCCCAGTTTTTAAAAGCTGGCAGGACTCTATGCCACTACTTCTCCATCTCTGATACAAGCAGTTGAGAAAAACCTGCATGCTGCCGTCACTTCATATTGCCTGAAAATCTATTTGAATGCTGTGGGGAACCTGCTTTGCAGGGGGGTTGGATTTAATGATCTCTACTAGTCCCTTCCAGCCCCTACAATTTTGTAATTCTGTAATGCTCGTGTTCTGTTTGTGTCATGGCAAAGATTTTTAGAGATTAAGTTGCAAACTGCCAGTGAACTATTACTCCTTTTAAAAAAATCACATTTCAGCATCAGGCCTTTTAAGTGAATGTCCATCTGACCTAACAGTTACCTGTATCATTATCACACGTGTCACTGCTGTCCCATTCTCTCAATCTGAGTTGAGTTGATCTTGCCCAACCCATCTGTTTTTTTTTTCCCCTACATTCTTTAGTTGCACCTCTTAGCTGAATCCTTTCTTTTTTTTGCAAAATCTAAGAAATGACAACAAAGCCTTCAGTCGTCTCCCACACAAATCAATACTGAACGAGCACTATATGCCGAATACTTCACGTTTCTCCCATTCTAGGCAGTAGTCAAGCTGTGCTTGTCTGCCTGATTTTTCAGACGCTGTTTTCTCTACTGAAGTCATACTGACTTCATTTCCAGATTTATTCTGTTCCAATGACCCCCTGTGAACAGCCATCCATTCATAAGTGAAAAGGTTTTCCTGCTAGGAAGGGCAAGTTGGAAATTACAGAATTACAGGGACGGCAGAGGATAGAAAGCTTTCGTGACTCAAAGCTGGCTAATCACGGTGTTACCGACCTGCGAGATGCATTCCCCATCTGTACCGCCGCTTTCCTTTAACTTCCGTTTATTCATTGCAGAAGATTATATCTTTAAATAAGAAAGACGATACAATTGTAACTATTTGGAAAAGGAATTAATTTAGCATATGTTACTCGAAAACAGCATTTTGAGACGCTGGCGGTCTCTGTTTAACCCGAGTAGCAGGATGTTCACCCTCAGGTGACCTGTGCTAACAGACACCCAGCATCCAGGAGGGCCGAAATCCGCGCCGCAGTTTCACGGTGACCCCCGCATCCCACAGCCATCCCTCGGAAATCCGCCCGCAGAGAGCTGCCCGGCGCTGAGGGGTCCCTGAAAAGCCCTTGACAGAAGACAGGAGCCTCACAGCCCGCCCCGCTCCTCAGCCCCTCACCTGAGGTAACGCCGTCAACCGCCGCCCTCGCGCGCGCGCGCGCCCCTCCCGCTCTATTCCCAGCAGCGCCCGCGCTGCCTGCACTCCCGCATCACGTAACACCAATCGCCCCGCCTTTCCGGCCCGGCCCACCCCCCACTTCCTTCCCCCCTCAGCTCCATCTCCTTCCGGGTGCGCGCGCACAGCCCTGTGGGAAGGCCCAGCCCCCCCTCCTTCTTCCACCCCCCCCCCCCCCCTTACCACCCCCCCGCGGCCTCCCGAGCTCCCCCGCGGCGCATGCGCAGTGGCTGCCTCCCATCTTCCTCCCCGGCAGCGCCGGAGCCCCCAGCAGCCGGAGCGGCGGCAGCTGACGATGAGGAGCGCGGGGGGGGCGGGGGGGGGCCGTTATTTATATCGTTAAAGGGACAGGCCTCCCGTTTCTCCGCCGCGGGGGCTGGGGGGGGCCGTCGCCCGGCCCCCGACTTTCTTTCCCCCCCCCCCCCCCCCTTCCCCCCCCCCCTTTCCCCAACCCCCCCGGACCGGAGGAACCCGGGGCCGAGCGAGGCGCCGAGAACGACGGCGGAGAGTTTCTTCTCTCCTCCCTCCCTCCTCCTCCTCCTCCTCCCCGCGGCCGTCAGCGGAGGGAGAAAGGGCCCCGCCGGGAGCACGGAGCAGCCGGGCAGCCCCCACCCCCCGCGCTCCCCTCCTCCCCCTTTATTGCCCTTTGTGTGCGTTCGCCGCCTGCGCCGCTCCGGGGCCGGCCGGGAGCCGGGGGGCCGCTGAGGTGAGTGGCGGGGCCGCGAGCGGGGCGAGCGGGGAGCGGTTGTTTACCTCAGGGCCGGCCGACTGTCACCTCGCGGCGTCGCCGGGCCCGGAGAGCGGGGAGAGAAGCGAGGGGTTTGGCTGAGGACCCCGGGGGTGCGAAAGTTCGGGGGGTTTTGTGGGGAAGGGAGGGGAAGCGTCGGGGTTTCGTGGTGCGGAGCGGGGGGTTCGGCGGGCGGAGCGGGTTGTGGAGAGTCCTGGAGGGGAGCGGGGTGGGGGGGGGTTGGAGCTGCGTGAGGGTTTGGTGCCGGGTTTTGGCTCGGTCCAGCCGTAGGCCCCGGTCATACAAAGACTTGTTTGCCCGCTGAAGTTGGAGAGCCGGGCTCGCCTCCCCACGTCAGGAGGTGCCTCGGAGCTCCGGGGTTCGGGTGGTCAGTGGCTGCGTTCGGTTTGGAGTTGGCTGAGGTTGGGATCTGCCTGCCCGTGTAAGGCCGGGGCTCCGTCAGCAGCCACAGCCGTGGTGGTCAGCGGGGCTGCAGGCTCAACCGACAGCTTCCTGCTAATTAAAGGAAAGCTACGTGTCAAAACGCCTGGAATACATACGGTGTAAGGGGATAAGCTACTTGCTGAGCTGAGTCGGAGTAAACGTTGGCGCAAGGCTTCCAGAGGTTAAAAAGAATCCAAAAGTCAGAGTTGAGGTATTGATATGTAGCTGATGTAAGAGCCCCCTTTATAAGTGGGATGTTTGCTGCTGTCTGCTTCTTTCTGGAGCTTAATTACGCTCTTTGTAATCTTAAAAAGGCAGCCGGAGCGTGTGCTGAGCCATGAAGTAGGCCGTGAGGTTGTGTTTCATTGGGGCATGGCAGCCAAATGGAGGTCAGCGTCGGGCGTGTGTTGCCTCTGCCTCGTGCTGGAAGGGTACCCACAAGAAAGGGCTCGCCCGTGGGTGCTTTGGGATCTCCAGTTTCTAATTTGGAGTGGCGGTTTTTTGTGACTGAGCTGGAAAGAGTTTGAGATAGGAGTAATTAGATTGGGTGAAAAGAATGGAGGAAATGTACGTTTGGTCCGATAGCTTAAAGATGTCACGAAGAAGGCTTGAAGGTAACAGCCATAACTCTAGTTCTTCCTAATAGTTTGCCTTCAGTTTTCCGTTAGCTTGTGAAAATGAGATACTTTTGGTTTTAAACACATGAAAAACTTTGACAAAGTGATCATCATCGTTAGAGCTTGTGAGAATCATCTTCAGACCCAGCTGATACACGTATAAAAGCTCAGGTTCTTTAAATACATCATTCTTCTTTTAGTTAGCTTACTGCGTGCAAGGATTGGACAGCAGAAGACTGTCCAGGAATAGAGGACTCTAGGACCCTGCACATAGCAGGGGGGTTGAAACTAGACGACCATTGTGGTCCTTTTCAACCCAGACCATTCTATGATATTATGACTGTTTCCTTTTTCTTCATGACAGTGCTCTGTTTTTCAACCTGAGATACCACTGGTGTACTCTCATTTCTGTGTGGAAACCTAAAGATTATGCTCCCTGTGTTTGTGGAGCCGCAGATCTGCCTGCAACTTCCGTGGCCTACAGCTGATGAGATGTATTATTTATTATAAAGATTAACACTTTTATTTCTGTGTGTTTTAACGATGAAGATAGGCAGGACTTGATTTAATCTGGTTGCTCAGTAAAATGCCCTAACAGAATTCTGAAACTGGGTAGAAGAACCCATAGAGTTCTCTGATTGTAAACCTTAGAGATGGAATTGCTGGCAGAACTTCATTTCCGTAGGCCTCTGCAGCCATGTCTGTGCTGAATGGACAGCCGCTGCTTGGGGGGTTGGATAGGAACAGTCCTGAGGAAGCATTTGTGGGGCTGAGGCCCTGAACGAGTGTGCTTGTGTTGTGCCAGAGGTAATTCCTGTGTTTCCACAGCAGTGCCTCATACTGAGGGGTCTAAGGCTGTTTTGGGTTGTCTGGCCACTATCACAGCGACCTCTTAGAAACTGGAAGAACTGAATCTATTGGCTCATTTTACTGCAGGCTGCTAGTTATCAACAGCTATAACAGAGAAGCAGTGTAGCTTTTGGCTTTTTTAATCTCTTTATGCTGCTGTTATGAAAAGGTATTAACAAATATTTGTTGTTTCCAGGAGAACTGTGTGCATGTATTTCAATTATTCATCTTCTGAGCAAAAACATAGTGATTTCTTTATTTCACGTATTCCAGGTTAGTGACTGCCCAGGCTCGCTGTCTGAGAGGTTGCTTTGAATTAGCAGGAAACCTGTGGCACCAAGATGTAGGCTGTGCTAGTTGTAAGGGTTCTGCCTGGGCCAGGCTTGTACCTGTCCTTTAGCAGTAAGTTTTCCCTGGAAGTTTGTTGTCATGCTGCCCGTTGTAGTTGACTATGTTCATTTGTATTTAGTCTAGTTAAACAGATGTTTCAAGAGAACCTTCTTTACGATGGAGGACTTTCAGTAATTTAATTTTTCTCTGCTTGTAATCCCTTCATTCTTTGGATCTGGAGGGATCAGTCTTTCTGTCCCTTTTAAAAAGCACTGAAGATGTTGGTATAAGCAACACTCCTCTCAAAAACAGAATGCCTTGTTTTACATCAGGGTTTATTTGACTCAGTTTGTCAGTAGGTTATTTTTTCCCCTACTGTTACTCATGGCGATTGTTTGCACGTGGAAGGTCTGCACCTTGACTGCAGTCCATAACTATAGCATCCATTTCTGAGGCAGCACTGAGTCTCCAACATGGATGGATGCTCCTTCTGGAAGAGAGCATGCTATGTGGGTGGCCCCCATGCCTGTCTGCAGCCCTGCTGTTCCCTGCCTCTTCCCAGGCCTTAAGAGGTCCCATGGCCACAGCAAGAGGAGGATCTCAACTCTATCTAGGTGGTTCAGGGCACAAGTTTTGGAAGCGGCTAAGCTTCCTTTTCAGAAGTGCTGTTAAAACTTTTGGAAAGCGAGGAGCGGTTCTGCTGCTGTGTTTGGGTTTGTTTTGTTGGTTTGGGGCTTGGTTGGTTTGGTTTGGTTTAAGGACCCTATATTGCTTTCTCTTTTATCCCGGTGGAAGTGAATGGCAAAGTTACCATTGACCTCAGTAAGAGAAAGATACAGGTTGCATTTTTGAATGAACTTTTGTCCTTAAGGACTTTGTGGTTTCAAACACTCTCATAAACAGACTTTCACTGACTTTTCACTGTAGTTATTTCTGGAACTTTTCATTGTAATTATTTCTGGTGGCACGATGCTGCTCAGTCACTTTCAGGTAGGCCTGCAGAGGAACAGAAGCCTGGATTTGAAATAAAATTTTGGAACATCATTGGAGACATGTCAACTGTTGAAGCCTCCTGAAAGCTGTGGAACTACAGCTAAATCAAGTGGGACGCTTACAAAGAGCAGCAGTTCAGAAATTAAGCAGTGCTGACTCCTTTCTGCTCTCCAAACTCAGAGTTCTTTATCACTGTGGCTGCTATTCTTGATGAGTTGCCTAGATAGGGGTTCACACTTAACAGAATTATAAAATCAATTTAAAATTTGTCGAAACCATATCAAATACAAAATTATAGCTTGTCATTTATATGTGCATATATGTCCTACTTCATGGGTACATATGCATGTGTGTTTAGCTACATACACAAATGTCTGTGTGTACATGCAGGAATATATAAAAGAGATGCAAAAGTAGATGCATTAAAGCAGTGCTTAAAATGAAGCAATTGTGTGGCTCTACAGATTTGCCTTTGGAGTTGTACCTGTGAGTTGTTGTTCTGATCAGGCACACGGCAGCAGGAATCAGTCATTACCATGAGATGGCTATTCATTGACCTTTGTGAGACGACTTGATCAGCTCAGTTTGTCTGCGGCTTGACAGATGTTCCCATTGCAGAGTTGTCCCTTCCCTCCTGCCCTTCCCATGGGGAATGGCTGTGGAACAAACCATGGCTTTGAGTGCCTTGTTCTTCTCCAGATGTTGGAGCTGAGGGATGTTGTAGGAGTGATACAGAGAGCTGGTGGCACGTGAGGGTTGTTGGTCACTTTGCTGTTATCGTTGCATGTTCTTTCTGAAGCCCTCTGTTTCGAGGGATTGAAGTTTACTTTAAAAATGAAGATGTTTCAAGGACTGGAAATTTGTTGGGGTTTCTAATAACTGCCTTTATTAAAGTAAGAATAAAGAGTTTTGTTCATCCGTTAAATTTTTCAATGTGCTTTTTTCATGTCTCTTATTTTTCCTTTACAAGAGATATTTCATAGTAAAGCAAGCAGCGTTTTATCAATTATTTCCTGACAATGGCTGGTAGCTAGGACCTGTAGAAGCAATATGTTGATTGCATCTTTCCCATCTGTGGTGAAGGTGAAGTCCAGGATTTAAACGTGTGTGTTCTCTTCACTTGAGAATAGTCTACATTTTCAGTGACGTTAAATCCAAGTTTATTTTGGTACCTACAAAGGAAGAGTGGTCTCAAATGTAAATAGCATCTTAAATCTGAGGCCCTTGGTTTGCCCAGTCAGTAACATGGCCATGCTAAGGAATATCCTCGAGTCGGGGAACCAGAGCAGTTGTCAATTGTTTGCCCAACAAATCCTGTTGGATCAAATGGTGAAATTCTCAACGTTCAGATAACAAGAGGCTTGCAATAATGTTGCCTCGTACCCTGCTACCAAAGGGAGCAAATGCAGCCTAACGTAGGAGAAGAGCAGAAATCAGCCGAGGAAAAGGTAGACCTACATAATACAGATAGTTTGATTTTTCCATTTGGTCTGCCTGGCGTTTCAAAAACTTGACATTCAATTTCAGTTTACCAATTTTTGAAATTATATTTTCAAGCTCTGGTAGATCTTTGCTGATGCATTATTTAAGGTTGTCTCTTGAAGCCTACTAAGATCTTCATTTAATTGTGTAAAACGTTTCGGTATTCAGTCTTCAAGCTTTTACCCATATACCTAACCTATATTTTTGTACAGGTATATATCTATATCTATATATGTATATATACACACACACAGGCATATGCAT